CAGGGCCTTTCCTAGCATAATGATAATATGCTCTCACCAATCATGCCTCTGAATCTAACACAAAGCTCTGGGTCAAACTTCAGGTACAGGACACAGTAGGTACACGGTACCACATACAAAGAATAAGGATGTCAAAAAGAAGCAATAAGGCAAATTCAGGAAGTAGGGTATTTTATGCAATAGCTAGCCCAGTCTTTCAACATGTTAATGATATAAAACAATAAGAGGGCAGTGGAGACACACAAGTAGGCTAGGTTAGAACATACTTAAAAGAATGTACAACTTGTAAGTATATCAAAATTCAAACTGTACACCTTCAGTGGGTGAATCATATGGCATATAAATTACAACTCAGTAAAGCTATTTTAAAAACAGACTTAGGAAACATAAAATCAAGCATAATCTATACACTGAATTTGGATCCTAATTTGAACAAACCCCTTTTAAAGGACATTAAAGAGTAAGTAAGTATGAAGGAATACTATGTTATATTAAGGATTACTTGTATTTGTTAGGTGTGACAATGGTAATATAGTTTTGAATTTTTATGAGTTTATATTTTTGGTGCTAGGAATCAAACTCAGGGTCTCACACACGCTAATCAAACATGCTACCATAGAAGTAAGTCCCTAGCATGGTGATATAAATGCTATCTAGAAATGCACGGAGGGGGGAGGACCTAGGACTTACCACAGGGCAGGGAAATCTGACTGCTCTTTGGGCTGGAGAGGGAGGGGGAGAGGAGTGGGGGGAGGGGGAGAAGGGTGGGAGGAGGGGGAGGGAAATGGGAGGCTGGGAGGAGGAGGAAACTTGTTTTTTTTTTTCTTTTCTCAATAAAAAAAAAGTTAAAAAAAAAAAAGAAAATAGTCAGTTTGAGTATCACAATACCTGAATTCAAGATATGCTATAGTCCTGATATGATGGCACACATATATAATCCTTGCACTGGAAAGGCTATGACAGGAAGATTGTAAGTTTGAGAGCAACCTAGCCCACATAGGGGTTTCGATGTAATAACAAGATAATGGCTAGACTTTGCATACAAACCACAAAAACAAAGTCTGGTATTGGTAGTACATGCCTATAAAACCCAGATATACTATAGAGTTCAAAATCCTTCTCTGTTGTGGAATATTCCTTTATACTATCTGAAAATGTACCACTGTGGTTAGTTTAATAAAAAGCTAAATGGCATACCAAGTTGTGGAAGGACTAGGCCCCTCCACTCTGCATCAAGCCTGAGCAAGGTATCCCAACATAGCGAATGGGCTCTAAAAATCCAGTTCATCCACCTGGGATAAGTCCTGGTCCCACTGCCAGGGGTTACACAAACACATCAAGCCACACAACTGTCATCTACATTCAGAGATTCTAGTTCACTCTCGTAAAGGCACCCCAGTTGTCAGTCCAGAGTCTGGGAGCTCCCACTAGCTCAGGTCAGCTGTTCCTGTGCTTTTCCCAATCATGATCCCTCCTCCCTCTCTTCAACTGAATTCCAGGAACTCAGTCCAGTACTTGGCTGTGGATCCCTGAATCTGCTTCCATCAGTTACTGGATGTAGGTTCTATGATGACAATTAGCATAATCACTAATCTGATTACAGGGGAAAACCAGTTCAGGCACCCTCTCCACTATTGCTAGGAGACTTAGCTGGGGTCATTCTTGTAGGTTCCCTGGAATCTCCCTGGTACCAGGTTTCTCCCTAACCCCATAATGGCCCCCTCTATCAAGATATCTCTTTAATTGCTCTCCCTCTCCATCTGCCCCCTCTAAGGAGTGAATGGGGGTGGGATGGAAGGTGGGGGGGGGTTCGGAAGAAGGTGAGAGAGGGGCATTTTTCACATAAAATGAAAAGAGAGAAAGAAAGAAAAAAAGAAAAGAAAGAAAAAAGGAAAGAGTAAAAAGAAAAAGAGGGAAAAAAATCAAAGTCTGGGAGCAGGAACATGTCAGACAACACCAAAATATTTGCTACCAAATATGTTGCAAGAGATTATCAAATAAAAATGAAGGGTTCCAACTGACAATAAAGGCTAAATGGCCAATAACTAGGTTGGAGGTATAGATGGGACTTCTGGACAGAGAGAGCTCTGGGAGAAAGAAAGGTGAAGTTGTGAGCCAGACACGGAATAACCAGGATGGGCTAATAGAGATGATGTATCGATCATGTGGAAGGACATAATTAAAAATATGGGTAAATTTAAGTTATAAGAGTTATTTAGAGACAAGACTAAGCTAAGGTCAAGCTTTCAAAATTAATAATAAGTTTCTGAAGTCTGTTTCATTTTTCGTGAGTTGGCGGCCCCAAAAGAAAAATCTGCCTACAATTCTCAGCTACATAGAGTGCAAGGATAGCTTTGGCTATACTAGACCCTATTTCAAAATAAACAAATAATACATATTACAGAGATTTTAAAAAGCATAAACAGGATGCTATTGGTGTTAAAACACATATAGATTAGTGGAAGAGAATAGAGAGATTAGAAGTATAATAACATGTACATTATGTAGTACAAAGGTGAGTCTTCTCAACAAATGGTGATAGGAAACCTGGGTCTCTGCATACAGAAGAAAAAAAATGAGACTCATCTCTTAGCACTTATAAAAAAGTGAACTAGCCTAGTGGCAGGGGCGCATGTCTTTAATCCTAACATTTGGAAGGCAGAGGCAGGCAGATCTCTTGAGTTGGAGGGCAGCCTGGTCTACAGAATGAGTTCCAAGACAGCCAAAGCTATGCAAAGAAACCTTGTCTCAAAAAAAAAAAAAAAAGAAAGAAAAGAAACAAAAGAACGAACTAAGCACTCAAATCTAAGATCTGAAATCATTACAAAAAAAAAATCAATGCAATGATGCCTAATGATATTCTGGTATACCCATAGACTGGTGCCTAGCCCAACCGTTATCCGAAAGGCTTCATCCAGCAACTGATGGAAATAGATGCAGGGACCCCATAGCCAAATATTACACCGAGTTTGGGGAATCCTGCAGAAGAAGGGGAGAAAAGAGAGTAGAAGCCAAAGGGGGTCAAGAACACTACAAGAAAACTCACAGAATCAACTAATCTGGGTGTGGAGCCCCAAAAATGTGAGCCTATTTCCATCCTGACAGATGGTCAGGATATGCAAGCATACTTTTGCTCTGTGTTTTGTAAATGGAGTTACCTGGGGAAGGGCTACCTTCAAGATACTTGGTCTAGAGTGGTTTCACTTCCTAAACAACAGAATGTTAATGGCTTGATGCCTCAAAGTGTTAAAGCAATTTACTGTTCTTTGAGTTGTCCTTTGTATCATGTTAAAGAAGTCTTCTGTTGCCTTCTTCCCCTTTTGTATTGGGGTATAAAAAACGTACGGAAAATTGAACATGGACAATTTCTGTTTTCACTGGTATGCCCTCCTGATACTATTCTATAGTTTCTGTTTTATTATTTTCAAATGCATCTTCATATTCTTTACTTATATTTCTAAATCCCCATGCCCCTACGCTGGCAAGAGGTGTTTTTAACATGGCAGGGTCACCATCACTGACACCTGGGCTTCAAGGAGCTCAACAGAGACTGAACCAACAACCAGGGAACCTACATAGACCTGACCTAGGCCCTCTGCATATGTTACAGTTGTGCAGTTTGGTTCTCTTGTGTGACTTTTAACTGTGGAAGCAAGGGCTGTCTCTGACTCTTTTACTGGCTTTTGGGACTTCACTCTTCATACTGTGTCACTTTCCTCAGCCTTAATTTATGGGGAGGTGCTTATTCTTACTGCAACTTAATATGCCATGCCTTGCTGATACTTATGAGATACTTTCCCTTTCCTAAACAGAAATGGAGAACTGGATTGGGGGTGGGAACAGAAGGGGTGGGGAAGGGGCTGGGAGGAGAGGAGGGAAAGGAAAAATGAAAAGGAAACTGAGGAAACACTTCAGGACATCGAAATGGGTAGGGACTTTTGGGAAAACAGCTTTAAGACAGAAAACAAAAGGGAAATTAAGCAAGCGGGATTCCGAGCAAAGGTACATTTAACAGAGTACAGAGAGGACCTACAGAATGGAGAGAAAATCTTTACAAGCTTACATTTTAGAAAGAGTTGATATTGAGTATATATTACTCAAAAAAATTTAATAGACTAATTTAAAAATGTGCAAATGATATGGCTAATTCTCCCCCAAAAGAAATACCATGGCTAATAAATAAATGAAAATATTTTTAATATCTTTAGCTATCAGAGAGTCAACAAGTTAAATGAGATACCAATTCACCCCAGTGGTTATTTATGGAGGAAGAGGAATGTAGATGGTCTTGGAAGGAATGTAAATTAATACAGACATCATAGACAACTTTTTTTTTAAAGAAACAGATGTGCCATATGGCTCATTTATCTCTCTTCTATATATATTCAAAATATTAATTTAGCATACCAGAGATATCTATATACCTTATGCATGGTACCACTATTTTGCTAAGATAACTGACCCAGCTTAGGTATCTATCAACTAATAAATAGAAAAATTAAAATAAAATACATATATACAATAGAGTATTATTTAGCTGTTTAGAATGAAGTTGTTATCTGCAGAAAAATATACTGAACTAGAGTGCATTACGTTAAGTGAAATGAGCCGAACATGGTAAAACAAGCACCACTAGTTCTCTCTAATCTGCAGCAGCTAAAAACAAGTCAACCTGAAAGGAAAATGGTGACTACTGCAGCCAGGAGTATGCAAGAGGAGTTTAATCAGGAAACAGTGTCTGCAGTTAATAAATAAAATAAAATATCTACATTCATAAAAAGATTCTTACATCATTGTAAGGTAAAATGCCATCATGTAGGAGATTTCTTTTTAAAATATTATACGTCTCCTTTAGAGAAAAATGTGAATTTCGCAAACATGTTCAATTAAGTCTGTTATACTCAGGTCATGGGCATATGGAAATTCATTAGTTTTCTCTGAAGTCTTATGTATTTTTGAAGATTTTTCAAATTAAGGAATTATGAAAAAGCGACAATTACCCTTTATTTTCAGAATCTCGAGCCACCATGACAAAGGTTGCATCCAAAACAGGCCAATAATCCTTATTATTTTGCAGCTAAAGAACAAAGGAAAGAAAAATAAAGTTATAAGGAATGCATTTGTTGGGAAGACTGACCACAGTTCTGAAAGTATTCATTACTGTTATTCTTTTAGGTTATTATATAGTATAGTCAATACCATTTGTATGAATATGGTTAAAATATCATATCCCCAAGAACTGAAAGTATTCTAGGTCTAGGTGTTATCCAAATGTCAAAATTAGAACCCACTCCTACCTCTTAAGACTAAAAATGCTGGCTAGGTATGATAGGATCTGCCTGTAATCCTATCAACTGGGGAGGCTGAGGCAGCACAGTGCCTGTGAGTCTAAGGCTAGTGATGGAGGTGGCTCTTGTATCTTATCTGTTGCTTTCATTGGTTAACTAATAAAGAAAACTGCTTGGCCTGGTAGGACATAAAATTAGGTAGGCGGAGTAAACAGAACAGAATGCTGGGAGAAAGAAGCCGAGTCGCAGTCGCCATGATTCTCTCACTCCAGACAGACGCTGGTTAAGATCTTCCCTGGTAAGCCAGCTCGTGGTGCTACACAGAATATTAGAAATGGGTTAGATCAATATGTAAGAGCTAGCCAATAAGAGGCTGGAACTAATGGGCCAGGCAGTGTTTAAAAGAACAGAGTTTCCGTGTAATTATTTCAGGTATAAAGCTAGCCGTGCAGGCGGCCGGGTGCCAGGAATGTAGCCCGCCGCTCCTATTACTACAGGCTAGCCTGGTGGGTTTCAGGCTACCTTGTGTGATTATAGTCTTGTGTGACTGTCATCCTGTCATATACATACATACATCCTCTTAGCTTTGTGTGTGTGTAGTTGTTATCTGCAGAAAAATATACTGAACTAGAATGTATTACATTAAGTGAAATATATATAAAAAAACTAAGAGGATAGCTGGTATTTTGATCTGTGCATTTCAAGGTCAACCAAGACCCAATGGAAAAAAGAAGCCCTCTAAAAGGGCCCTAAAACTCCAGTCCTGATCAGAAAGGCTATAGGGGATCCAGAGGTTAGGCACTAATCAGTAGATATCCTATAGAGTGAAGAGACACTAGACAGGGAAACTCTAAAGGGTGGAAGAATTGCTAACATTAAACTGAACTAAATAGACAAGGCTCTAAGTTCTATGCTAGTTATAAGGATCTACTCAAATGGTCAAATAGATAACATTAAACACACTGTTCAAAAAAAAAAAACACAACACATTCTAATAGTCTCTGACCAAATCTGTGGTGTTTTAATCAGTCATAAAAAGTCTAGATTCTCTATCCTACTATTTCTGTGCATAATGTATGCTCCAGGCCCTCCTGTCTTGATCCTAAAACTTTCTCTTTTTTGCCTATTTAATGTAATTTATTTCTTTTTATCATACACATATTCGTTTATTTTACATCCCAGCCGCAGTTTCCCCTCCTTCCTCTCCTCCTAGTACGTCCCCCCATTGCCCCGTCTGTTCCCATCCCCCAATCCACTTCCCCTCCATTTCTCTTTAAGAAAGGGCAGGTCTCCCATAAATATCAACAAAACATAGCATATCAAGTTGCTGTAAGACTAAGCAGCTCCTCATGTATTAAGGATGAACAAAGCAACCCAGTATGAGGAGCAGGGTCCCAAAAGCCGGCAAAAGAGTCAGAGACAGCTCCTGTACCCACTGATAGGAATTCCACAAGAGTACCAAGCTATACAATTATAACAAATATGCATAATGCCTCTCTCAAACAGTAGAGAAACACTTAAGAAGTTGTTTGACATCCTAAAACTTTCTTATCAGCACAATATCCTTTGCCTGTTTTAATTGTTTCCTGTATATATCTTCAGAAGGTCTACAGATCATAACCAAAACATCCAGTTCAAGTATAGAACTCAGCCTCATAAATTTAAAAGCAAAATTTAGCCTGATACAATTATATTTTACAAAAACAAAAGATAGTCTGACATTTTATTCAGATAATCATGTGATTACATCGGAACCCAAAAAGAAACGGGAGTTAGAAAACTCATTGCATTCAAAGAAACAAAAGAGATTCCATAAAGGCTACTAGGATCTCTTAGAGGCTTACCAGGCTAATTGAATCCATTAACCAACCTAAGCCTGAGATATGAAAAATGTCTCATGAGACATAAAAAATGAAAGTTGGGCAGTGGTGGTGCATGGTTTTAATCCCAGTACTTGGGAGGCAGAGGCAGGGGATTTCTGTGAGTTCAAGGCCAGCCTGGTCTACAGAATGAGTTCTAGGACAGCCAAGGCTACACAGAGAAACCGTGTCTTAAAAAAACAAAAAAAGAAAGAAATAAACAAAGAAATGAAAAAGACACTACTAAGGATGGAATAAAACAAAAGAAAGCAATGATGCAGAAGGGGGCAGTGGGAGGAAAACAAAAACAAATTTTGACGGAAAATGGAGCTGGCAAGATAGCTCAGCAGGTAAAGTCTCTCTGAACAAGGAAACCACTTACACAAAAATGTCTTCCCTCTGAAGGGAAGAGTCTTCAGTTTTAGTAACTGATCCCCTTTCAGGATTAAAGCTGCTTGTGTTTTCCAGGTTTCTCCTCAAACAACTAAAGAAAATTACTCAGATAAGTTTAGATAACTCTTATATTAGTTAAAAATTCCATTTTTTACTTGAGGCCAACATATGTATAGTCTAGGTAAACAAATGCTCATTAAAGTGGTTCATTAGTCTTACCACCTTGAGGAGGATGCTTTTGAGCAAACTGTATTTGAGACAGGGTCTCATGTAGTCCAGGTTGGCTTTCTGAACTTGCTATGTAGGTAACAATGATCTTGAACTTATGACCCTCATGCCTTGGCCTCCCAAGTGCTGGAATCACAGGCAGGCATCAACACCCTCAGCTATTTAATGAATTGATTAAAAAATTAGAGACAGTCCTAAATGGGACATCTGTATCACCCTATCGAAGGTTCAGGGGAACATCATGGAAGAGAGGATGAAAAAAATTAAGAGCCAGAAGATGGGGAGGAAGACTGTGGAATTCTATCCTCTGAACACGGCATGGCTGCTGTATCCATGAACTCAAAGAAGAATGATGGGGGAGAGTCTTCTGTTTCGTGTTAATTTCATTGGTTAAATAAAGAAACTGCCTCGGCCCTTTTGATAGGACAGCAGCTTAGATGAACAGAGTAAACAGAACAGAATGCTGGGAGAAAGAAGCTGAGTCGCAGTCGCCTTGATGTTCCCACTCCAGACAGACGCAGGTTAAGATCTTCCCTGGTAAGCCAGCTCGTGGTGCTACACAGAATATTAGAAAAGGGTTAGATCAATATGTAAGAGCTAGCCAATAAGAGGTTAAAACTAATGGGCCAAGCAGCGTTTAAAAGAATACAGTTTCCTTGTAATTATTTTGGGTAAAGCTAGCCGGGTGGCGGGAAGCGACCTGCCGTTCGTTCCTCATACTACAGAAGAGCCGGTGAAAAACACAAGACTGTACCCATCAAAATTCCACCATGAACAGGGGAGGGTCTTAGGAGGCCCACCTCTCCAGGAGCGGCTACTGGCAGTTAATGATTGCTGTAGAAGGTGCAGTCACATTTTTCCATGTCATAGCCACTGGCTAAGCTGTCCATGTTCCAGTAAATAACCCTCCCCCGTGTTTATACATGCAAACCTAATTACACCCGGTGGGTCATGCAAAACTCACATGAAAGGAGGAGGATGACTTGAGAAGAAGAAAGGAGGGAAAGGAGAGGAAAATGGTTGGGGTGAATATGTTTGAATTATATGATTGTTTATGAAACTGTGAAACAATAAATATAATTTTATGGTCATATATTTATTTAAAAGGTTCTACAAGATCCCAAACAAGATTGTTACTTGGACCAAGTTTGCTCCTAAACACTTAAAAAAGAAAGCCACCTAGGAGACAGACTTCAGCCCATTTAATAGGGTATACTATAACAGCTGCCACCTCCAAAGAATTACTGACAGGGTTCACCTGTGAAGATGAAAGTCCAATTTTCCAGTAAGGGTTTAAGGTGAGACACAGGGACCCTACTAAAACAGTTGAACAACCAATGGAGGGCTTGTATTTCTCTTCAAAATGGACTACAGGGGACCAGTTAAGATGATCTGAGGACCTGGGTTTCATAGTTCCTACTTTTGGAGCTATTATTATTATTAGGAATTAATTGTGTTCGTCATTACCTGTGCTCCATTAGGTAAATCTTTTTATTAACTGCCATCAAAATTCTTAAAGACATTATATTCTTTTATCTAAATGTGTCAACGTTGAGGTGGGCTGATGCAACTGGTTCTCTATTTCCTGATTGCCCTGCCCTGTCTGAAACTCTGGCTTTACGAAGATTCCTAAACCTTCATTCTAGTCTCAATGACCTGGGATTTTTTTTAGGCTACCTTATGCAAAGAGAAGTGATTTTCCAGTTCTCCAGTAATGAAAATAAGTCCTTCTTCCACTAGATTGATGCTGTTATGTATTTTGTCGCAGCAACAAGAAAAGTAACTGGGGCTGGAGAGATGGTGCCATGGTTAAGGGTCACTTGCTGCTCTGACAGCCATATGGTGGCTCAAAACCATCAGTTCCATGAGAGTCAACAGGCATGCGCATGGTGTATATATATGCTCTAAGGCAAAAATTATAAGCATTCATGTACAAAAAATCAAACAAAAATTCTAAAAAATAAAAATATAAATTAACTAATACAAAAAAATCTGGAATCAAGAAGAAAGACGGTTGTGACAAGCCAGACCATGTTGTTCTTGGGCCTTTGGAAACAGTTTACAGAAAGAACCGAGAAAGTTTAGAGCATCGGGATAGTTTAATGAACCTACTGGAATGGACTAGAGGCCATTCATGTTCCATTCTGGCAAAGAAGGATCCGGCTCTGGGGTGTGTGTGTGTGTGTGTGTGTGTGTGTGTGTGTGTCCTGGCATTTGAATGAGCCTCAATTTAATAGTAATGAGATAAAGACAGGTACAATGGCACACACCTTTAATCCCAGCACTCAGGAGGCAGAGGGAGATGGGTC